TTGATGTTTTGAGCTCTTTTTGTGTTTAGAACAATATATACTAATTTTTGAAGTATCAATTTGAATTTTTTTTTTTCAATAAAAATCTTTCAAATAAGACTGTAGCTTTTTTTCCCCCAAAACTTTGTCTTCAAAATAAGGGTGCGTTTTATATTCCAAAAAACATGGTAATGATATTGAAATTTCCTTACTAAAGTAACACATAAAATGACAAAATGCAGTATTAAACGGCCCACTAAACAATCATATTACAAATACACTATGATCCAAGGCATTGGATTGACTGCACATTTATATTAATTCAGTACCATTTTTTGGAAATTTACAGTTGAGTTGTTTCCACGGAAATCTGCTAGTAATATATAATAGATTACAGGTTGAATTACCATCCGTTATGTTTCTGAATTACTATGCTAAGTATTTGAAGTTTAAATACAAGAACCAGTCATGTTCACTTTAATGTATTATTTGTAGCTAAAGAGAACACAGAGTTTAACTAGAGGAGCACTCAACAGAGCACATACCTCTGCCACACAGCTTTGATCATACTCGGCTCTCAAAAAAATATGGGAATGTGTCTGTATGTCCGTTGTTATCAATGGACATTGACCATTTTTGGCAGGACAATAAGTAATAATATTCTACATATGTCCACCAAGTTTCATCAAAATTCGATCATATATAGAGCAAAAATAGTGTGAAAAATCGGTCCCTGTGTTAACAGATATAGATTTTCATGACTTTGCCATAACCTTGGCCCTCCAAAAACTAATCAATTCTAAGTTAGGTCATGGTTCAACTGTATACCAAACCCATTAAGCTGTTTTCAAGAAATCTTGCTAACAAACACAAAAACACACAGAGGTGAAAACATAAACTCCATCCAACTTTGGTGACAGAGATAATGAAAAGGTAATACACTTTGCTTCATTATAAATACGTAAATGTTATTACAGTATGAACTGTATTATATAACACGAACTTTGACAATTCACCACAGCTATATCTTCCCAAAACGGAATACAATGTTCAACTATAGAAGAATTAGGAATATTAATGACTAAGTCAACTTTTGTGAACTGTTTCAATGTCATGTAATTTATTAGTACTTCACACTTAATGCACAGCAATGATTTCCCCTTTATATTCAGAAATCCTAGAAAACATATTCTTATTTTCAGTATATCAAAAAAAACATGTAATGATTAAACTAGGCAGTTATTAAAAATTTTCTGAAGCTTTCAAAACTTCTGAACCATAGTATACATTGTTTCTTAAGTATTGGCAAGCAGTTTTATATTACATATGGTTCTTCAAGGATGCAGGCCTGAAATTCCTCATCAGTGAGTCTGAATTGTACATTCCATGGCATAAAAATACATCCATATAGGAATTTGAGAGCCATGGAAATTTTTCATTCTGAATATTTTAATTTATGTTTTTGTTTAATTGCTCTTTAGTATTAAACATCCTTTAAAACCATATGTTGGTATGCACAGTTTTGAATGTAATTACAGTAAAATATATATACAGTTAAAATACAGCACAATGATGGTATACTTACTTGATAAACAAGTGTGGTTGCTTGATACAACATGATTATCAGGACAAGAGCAGATGTTGCTTTTACAAACCAAATTTTTTTCACAGTCTTCTTCACTTAAACACCTTTCTCCAATTCTTAACTCACCTGAAAAAGTAGATAAGTATTAAATATGATTGAGTAGAGAATTACATTAGAAAACAGACTGTAATATGTCGGAAGATTTGAAAATAAACATGTCGAATCATTTAACTTACCTACATACATATACCTGTGTCTCTATCTCTGTGAATGATATCCATGAATACATAATTTAAAAATGACACTTGTGTAAAAGATGTATTTACAATAAAAGCAATACAACATTAAAATTTTACACAATGTTTCGGTGTCTGTACGACTTCTGAAAATAGTGTCATATAGACACCAAAAAATAGATAGTCTTTTAGGGCAAGGCCCTTTTTTTAATAATTATATATATTGTGTAAGATTTTAACGTTTTATTGCTTTTCCTGTAAATAGATATCCATGAAATATCTTTTTCTGCATTCTATATTAATTTCTGAGAATACAATTAGTAAGGGATTCATTGCAACACAAAAAAAAACATAACAAATAAAAAACAGACACACAGAATAATAAACCTTTTTTTTTTGCATATCAAGCTATAAAATCTCTTTACTTTCAAAACACTACCAAAAAACTGAAACAATAACAACATAACTGTTGTGAGGTTTACCTTCTGCTGAAATTTATTCACTGTTTAGAAATGACATATAATAACTTTTTAACACTATACTACTAACAAATTTATGATCTTACCTGTCCAAGGACATCCTGGTTTCACATCACCTTGTAACTTATATCTCTTATCATTTGGTTCAATAGTTTGGTCATTAATACTGACATCACCAATACATCCAAAAAATATTTCTGGACATTTCCTTGTTGATAATGTTTCACTTTCTGTAGCTCCAAATGTGACAAATGGTATATTAGTGTAACTGCTGAACTTATAATTCCACCTTACTGACTGTGCTTTATCAATATTATCATCCAGAATTAGTTGTTTTCCCTCCTTCATCAGAATCATGCTGAGCATGTGCCACTTACTATCACTCACATTTTGGTTAATACTAACTGCAAAATCCATATGTTCTGGATCCCCCCTTTTCTGAATACTTAATTCCACTCCTGTATTTGTTAGATATAACAGAAAGGTAGGAACATCAGCTTCTCCACTTCCAAAAGCTATGAGACCTTTATCTTCTTTTGTACGAAACAAAAACTGTAACCTAAACATTTCAAACTGAAAATTGTATTTTGAAATATTCCAAAACCCCTTTCCATTAAACATGATGGAGCTGTTTGGTTTTTTAATATGCTTTGGTGGTCTCTGTACTGGATAAAAAATACATAAATATTAAATAGTTTTTTAATTATTTGATCATTTTAAAGAACCTATTCAATCATAGTTGAAAACAAGTATTCTTTCATTTCAATGAATTTCTTAGAATTTTATTTTATTTAAGTCATTATCACCAACCAGTTTTCATTTATAAATTTTTAAAAGTTTGAATCACTGTCTGATAATCAGTTGTAAAATTCCCACTATAAGCAATTTACTAAAATCAATTAAAGTAAGATGTTTAAAGAATTAATTAATTTAAAAAATATATCTTTGAATACCTGATTTTCAGATCTATTCACTTAAAATTTCAATGTTCTATTAGATAATCTATTGAGTTTGTTCAACAGGTGAAAGTTTACCTACCAAAAACTTAACTATGTTCAATGAAAAAGTATGAAAATGGGAGTCTAGAATAACTGCTTTGAACAAAACAAAAATTATAACCTCTAAATTCTTATAAGTATTTATTTTTCTAGTGAAAAAATGCTAAACTGAACTAACATTATGTTATCAATTGCACAACAGAAAATACACATATAAAGTCACATTGTATAGATGAATTAATTCTCTAAATTAAGAACTTAAAGCAGGGAAATCACTATTAAAATTATTATTGCATTTTTTTTTAAACAAGCCTGAAATAGCTTTTTATTAGCTTTTACCAAATAATTTTCTAATACATGATTATTATCTTTAAATGTAAGGTCAAAGGTTTTTGACATAAAATTGTAAAACCTTTCATTTCAAATGTTAGACATATTTCTAAATATAAATATCTTTCTGCATTTTTCATTTATTGCTATATAGTCTTCATAATCTTCCTTCTAAAGAAATCAGTCAAAATTTCAAAGTGACGTCGTAGGGGAAAATAAGCTATGACACCATAGTCGGGTCTTCAAATTTGATATCGAGGAACCCACTTTGAGACTAATAATGGTTGGAGATGGCTTGAATGGGTAACGAAGAAAAACTTTAATATAAGTTTAACATAACAGCAAATGTACAACGTTTTGACAAGGTTTTGTCATCATCAGGTACTATTTGAGGTACCAATCACGTACCTGATGATGACAAAACCTTGTCGAAACGTTGTCC